CCCCGAAACAAAACTTAATCAGATGCATTCAGAATGCATCTGAACAACAAAGATTCAACTGAGATTCTCCCTGGATTATTCTCCCTGGATAACACCCCACTGATAAGATTGCCTTAGGATTGCCAGAATTTTGCTCATCCCACTCTACCCATGCTCTACAGAAGGAGGTGGTAGTTAGTCTGTTTGCAGATATAAAGATTTCCTTCTCAGGCTGGAGAGAGAGCAATTTGAAATCCTGTTCCAAGGGCGTGTGCATTTGGCCCACATTTCGTGGCAGTTCCTTATGGCTTGTGTGTGCATTTGCGTTGGCACACTCCGGGGTTTTCCCAGGTACGATAACTTCCTTCCTGGAAGCCAGCCAGGAAAATTGGTCCCAGGTAAGCGACATAGCGGTTTGAGTATTGGACTATGACTCTGGAGACCAGGGTTCGAATCCCTGCTCAGCCATGGAAACCCATTGGGTGACCTTAGGCAAGCCACACTCTCTCAGCCTCAGTAAACCCCCTCTTGCCTGTGATAGGCTTGCCTTTGGTGTTGTTGTTGTGTGCCTTCAAGTCAACTTATGGCGACCCTAAGACAAACCTGTAGTGTTGTTTTTCTTAGCAAGATTTGTTCCAAGGAGGTTTCCCATTGCCTTCCCCTGGGGCTGAGAAAGGAAAGGGAAAGGAAAGGACTAAAAAAGGAAAAGGGAAAAAGGAATGAAGGAAGGAGAAAGAGAGAGAGAAAGCAAGGAAGGAAGGAGGGAAAAGAAAGTAGCAAAGGAATAAAAAAGGGAGAAGGAAAAAGTCAGAGAAAGAAGGAGGGAGAAAGAGGGAAAGAAAGCAGGGAAGGAAGGAAGGAAGGAGAATTAAACATCCAAAAAGAATTACTTCCAAGAGGCATTAGTCTTTTAAATACATCCCTGTTGGCTAACGCTTTATGAAACCCTAATTTTTCAAAATCTGAAGTGAATGTCTGTAACATTTTGCTAATAAGGCATGTGGCAGAGTGATCCTTCTGCCATGTGGCTCCGTGCAGAAAGTGGAATTTGCAGACTGAGTCCTTGAATGCTTGCTTCTCTAGTTTGGTGTTCCTTCTAAATTCTCATTTTCCTTTCTCTTTCCCCCGCCCCAGATTGACAAGTACCTCTACCACATGCGGCTTTCAGATGAAACCCTGCAAGAGATCTCAGATCGGTTCCGCAAAGACATGGAGAAGGGCCTTGGGGCTGACACCAACCCTACAGCCTCGGTGAAAATGCTGCCCACGTTTGTGAGGTCTACCCCTGATGGAACAGGTAGGAAAGCATAAGAGAAAAGGAAGGAGCTCAGTTTGCTAAAGCTCAGCTCTAGAATGTGTGAGCTGGTAAAATGTGTGTGTTTCTGAGCATACAAAGAGTGGCTTTCCTCTGAATCGGCAGGAACCCTTCTATGTAAGCACTGCTCACTTTTTAAGGAGAGATGCCAGGTCTTAAGTCATTGAATTCTACAGGCTAAATCCTATTGTCCCTGGCTATGTAGATCCATGCAGTGAATGGGATTTACTTACATGCCCTGATTGATGCCATGCTGAGATGGGAATTATGGAGGCCTCCAGACACTGCTGGAGTACAAAACCCATCATCCAGCCAGCACAGCCAAAAGTGAGGAACACTGGCAGTTCCAGTGCAAAATCTGGTGGTGCACAAGATGTCCACCACCTTGAACTGTCCCGTTTTGCACTTGTATCTCATATTCATGGTTGGATGGATGAAATAACTTCTCTCCCTCTTATTTCCCATTGCAGAGGAAGGAGACTTCTTGTCCTTGGATCTTGGTGGAACAAACTTCCGAGTGTTAAGAGTCAAGGTTGCTGATAATGGCAGCAAGAAAGTAGAGATGGAGAACCAGATCTACGCGATTCCAGAGGATCTGATGAGAGGAAGTGGAGCTCAGGTGAGCTGGATGATGTGTGAGATGCCTTCAAGTCAACTGGTAAGGAACTGCGATGCCTCTCATTTCAGTCCATGGCAACAGTGTGGGGCTGTGCAGGAGGCTTCGGTGGCCAGATATGTCCCATGGCCCTTCATTAGCTACCCACTGCTCCGAACTGGTAGCTCCGAACCAATTCTGGGCTTTTGTCTGACCTTTAAAGGGTGGTGAACTTGTTGCACCTTAGGTTTGTTGTTGTTTTGTGTCTTCTAGTCATTTCTGACTTATGGTGACCCTAAGGGTTTTCTGGGACTGAGCGTGTGAGACTCACCCAAGGTCCCACAGTGAGTTTCCATGGTTGAGTGAGGAATTGAACCCTGGTCTCCAGAGTTGTGGTCCTGCTCTCAAACTGCTACATCACACTGGTTCACCATGCATCATAGGTCACTCCTTTACAATCTGGATTTAAGCCCAGAGTGTATTCACTGTTCCACTGATAGTCCTCAGCTCAGAAAGAGTACTGAAGTGTGCTGCAAGTACCTGGTTTCTCCTGTCGCTGTCTCTGAGGAGTGTTCTTTACCACGTGTCTCCTTCTCTCCTACTTTCAGCTCTTTGACCACATTGCTGAATGTTTGGCCAGCTTCATGGACCAGCTGCAAATAAAAGACAAGAAGCTTCCCCTGGGCTTCACCTTCTCCTTCCCTTGCTACCAGACCAAACTGGATGAGGTCAGTACATTTTCTACCCTGATGGGTTTGAGCTTTTGGGCCTTTGGAAATTACACAAGAGCTGAAGGCTGTCAGAACTTTGGGGATTTTTCTAATTCAAATGTTGGCACTTTATGTTAGCAGGATGGTACCTCTTCTCTAGGTCTTAGTCTATAAGGGAGCTGTCCAAGGTGCCAATCCATATCTCCAGAATGACTCCAGCAGCTTGGATATTGCCTTTAAACGTCAGACTTAGAACACAGAGCTGTTTTAATACTCTTGGACACATAAGTCACCCATGGCCACCAGAGCCAGTTGGCTTTGAAATGTGTCTGTTCTCAGCCCTCATTGACAACACAGATATGATCATTTTGGCCTACCTCATAGGGGTGTTAAAAGGATTACTGGCAAAAGCTATAGCTATTTGAACAGTTGTGTTGTTTCAAAGGGTTCCTAATATGAAAGAATTCAGTCTGGCAGTTTGAAATAGTCATTCAACGAGGAGGCATGGCTGATGGGGTGTTCATGTGTGAACGCAGGGGTTAGGTGTTGAGATAGGTACCAAGAAGGAAACACAAGAACTGAAATGAATATGAGAAGCTTATAGGTGATGGAGCCCTGTCTCACCCTTGTTTGGATGTGAACCTTTACTGTTGTGCTTTCCTTCTTCTCAAACAGAGCATCCTTGTTACGTGGACCAAAGGATTCAAATCCAGTGGCGTGGAAGGGAGGGATGTGGTTTCCCTCTTGCGCAAAGCCATCAAGAAACGAGGGGTAATTTAGGATGTTCTTCCTCTCCTCATTTCCCAAAATTGTTTTTTATCAATCTGAGTAGGGGTGCACAATCCTTTTGTTGGGAGCTGGTGTGGCGGAGGCGCTGTTGCCCTTGAGTCCCACTTTTGCAAGATTGCAAGGTTGCTTTAATGCTGGGCTTGGTTGAAGGGGCTGGTTGCAAAAGAGACTGCAGACAAAGGCAGCCATATCCCCCCAACCCAAGAAGCTGTAGCAGCTAGAACAAGGAACAGGCAATACATTTCAGGGGTAGATGTACTAAAAGGAGCTGCTAAATTAGGGGTGAGAATCATCCATCCCATAGGAAACCCTACTGATCCCCCAAGACCTCAGAATCCCCCCCAGGAAAAAACCCTGACCTTTTGGCTGAAAATGTCTTAAAAAACACAAATGTGTTGTTTTGGGGGTGTTTTCCCACCCCAAACCAGCAAGAAATCAATCCAGAGAGCTGCATAAGGCAAACACAAGTGATGCCATCCCACTTCTTTTCACCAAAATGGCAGCCGTGCCAGGATGGCTGTGGCCCTCCAAAAGTGCTGAAGACTGACAAATGGGATATTCCTTCCTGCACAGTCTGCCCCCCAATTTATAGATTTTATTGATTCCTCTGTGGCCCCTTAAACAGGATGGCACTGCATCCTCCTTTAAAGTTCAGGTACATTATTTGAGAACTATGTGGCTTAATGTCCGCTGCCACCACCAACAGATGCCAGCTTGACCCAGAAAAAGGAGAGAACATGTGGATCATGCATTGGGAGAAGGATGGAAATCATTTTGTAGAGCTGACTGAACTCTTACTCGTTCCCTGTGTTCCTAGGACTTTGACATAGACATCGTTGCTGTGGTGAATGATACTGTTGGGACAATGATGACCTGTGGATATGATGACCACAACTGTGAAGTTGGACTTATTGTCGGTAAGATTGAATGTCCAGCCAGGAGGACGACTGGGAACATTTGCTTCCCTCTTTGGAACATGCAGAGGTGTCCGGATTTTATGCAAAGCAGAGACAGACCCATGGCTAATTAAGGCTGTGTCTGCACTGCAAAAATAATGCAGTTTGGCACAGCTTTAACTGCCGTTGCTCAATGCTATGGCATTCTGGGAAGTTTGGGAGCTATTTAGCCTTTTCTGTCAGAGGGTTCTGGTGCCACAACAAACTACAAAGGTTTCCATATCATTGAGCCATGGCAATCAAAGCGGTATCAAACTGGGTTATTTCTGCAGTGCAGATGCTGCCTAAAACGTGGCTTTTTATTGATGCTCTTGGAATCTGAAGATGTTATCCAAATTGTTTGTGGACATAGTTTTAACTGTGTAAATTTGATTTTGATTCAGGACATTTTCTTTTGTGCTTGCAGACAATTTGATTGTTGCCCGTGTCTCATTCACTGTCACCTGAGCTACCTTTTAAAACAGGATGGCTTTCAAAAAAATAATAACCACCACAACAATAATAACAGCTGCAACAACAAGTGTTGGTATTGCTATTAGTCAATGGCAGCTGGTGCTTCTGACATGGTCTGGCTTGTGAATCTGCTCTGGGCTTTTGTGTGAACTGTAGAGGAGAGGGAGGCAATGGAAGAAGGTGTGTAGCCCCTTCTGATTTTTCCTGGCGTCTCTTTTCTTTTTTGCCTCCCAATCCAGGCACTGGTTCCAATGCTTGCTACATGGAGGAGATGCGCCACATTGACTTGGTGGAAGGGGACGAGGGGCGCATGTGCATCAACATGGAGTGGGGAGCCTTTGGGGATGATGGGGTTCTCAATGACATCAGGACGGAGTTTGACCGGGAGATCGACATGGGCTCCTTGAACCCCGGAAAGCAATTGTACGTAGAAAACCTTCACCTGGCTGCAGCCATCATGGCTTAAAGATTACCCTTGGGGATGTGGGGCTGTCTGTCTTGCGGCTGGTAGCTTTAGACTGCATCCACACTACAGAAATAATCCAGGATGACACCACTTTAACTGCCATAACTCAATGCTATAGAATTTCTAGGATTTGTAGTTTTCTGAGACATTTCACCTTCTCTGTCATTGAGCTTTGGTGCCACAG